ACTATTCAAAAGTTTGAAAATCACTGGGTTGAATTAAACTGTAATTGGTAAGTTTTAAGGATTAGTAGGAAAAGCACTACATTAAACAAGATACGTATTGTAACTCAGTTGTTAAGAGCACAGGTTATCAGAGTGCCTGGGTGGCTCAGTTGGTTAAACAACTGACTCTTGATTTCGACTCAGGTCATGATCTCACGGTTCTTGGGATTGAGCCCTGAGTCAGGCTCTGCACTGACAGCTTAGAGCCTGCTTGAGATTCTCTGTCTCCCTCTTTCTCTGATCCATCCCTGCTTGCCCACTGTCTCTCTCTCAAAATAAATAAACTTAAAAAAAAAGAGCATGGGTTAAGGAAACTATGTAAACCATAGTTTTCAATGTTACTTCTTTTAATTATGAGTCTAGTTAGAATCAACTAACCTCTCAGCCTCAACATCCCCATCTGTAAAATGCAGGTATTCAAACCTACTTTTGTCGAATTGTTGTGAAGATTTAATTAAATGACATATTTCCAGCGGCTAGACACCAGACAGTGCCTGGTATATAATAAGACACTAAAAAATTGGTTGCTATTACAAATGATTAATCACTTGCTTCATTTTAAATAATCTATAAATCTACTTAGAGCTAACTGGTAAAGTTAGCTATTTTTACTACAAGATTAGAAATCATATCTTATTTAAAGGATAAACAGATAATACAATCTACTACTAAATTTATAATGCAAACCCAGTATTTTATAACACATGATCTAGGTTCCTTCTGACACTTAAGAAAAGCTTATTCTATAAAATGAATCAGTTTTCTTTTAGAATGAACATACAATCAATCCTAAATATATTTATTATTAAGAATTATAGTGAAATTTATAATGGCAACAATTATCCTTAATATTTTAAAAATCAAATGCAATTTCTTATACTAAAACTGTTTTAGTTTTAGAAAATACATATGCAAAGAGAAAAACACCTATAATTTATCTCCTGTTAACCTCTAGCCTTCTGGCAATTAATGCCCATTATTTATTTATTTTTTCAAAGATGTGCTTTATTTTTTTAAGTGTTTGTTTATTTTTGAGAGAAAAAGACAGTGTGGGTGGGGGGGGGTGGGCAGAGAGAGAGAGAGAGAGACAGAGGATCTGAAGCAGACTCTGTGCTGAGAGCAGAGAGCCCGATGTGGGGCTCAAACTCACAAACAATGACATCATGACCCGAGCCGAAGTCAGATGCTTAACTGAAGTCAGACGCTTAACCGACTGAGCCACCCGGGCACCCCAATTAATGCCAATTCTTATCCTACTTTACCTCATGAATTTCTGGCCATTCCTCCTCATGCTCTGATGATCTAAGCACTTAGTTCACTATTTTCCCTATTTCCCAAATCCCATTCTCTTCCTGGGTGAATTCAACAATCACCTAAATTTTCCATTTCTTTCCTGACCTTTCTTCCTCCAGTGATCATCTTCACTCTATTTCATCCACTCATTTCCACTGCCATATTATGGACCTCTTTTTTAAAAAAATCCCAATTCACTTTACTTCTAACAATAAATGTCCTTAATCCTCAGAGTTTTAGTAGTTATAAATGGCCATTTCGCCAGAGAATATATTTCCTGGCTCCTTTGAAGCTAGGTGGCCATATGACTAAGCTCTGGACAATAAGCTAAGAACAGAATCATTGTGTGCAACTTCTAAATCAAGTCTGCCACAAAAGGAACAAACAGCCTTCTACTTCCTCTTTTGACTACCCTACTCTGTGTGTCAGTATTTTTTCTTTCACAGTACCCCTAGGCCAAAACAAATCCCTAACAGTTCCACTAATTAAGTAGTTAGGACCAAACAATTTAATACTTATGTATGTCCTAACTACTTAGTAGCCATTTGAAAAAACACCATAAATAAGTTTAAGGAAAAATATTTTTATTTCATTCTTAAATAACCACAATCACTAATGCAATGTGTGTATGTCTACTGGACACAAAACTTGAAATCAGATTGGCTACTACCATCCTTTTTCTCTTCCACATTAATTCTGGTTCAGTACTTGCTTTAATTCTAACCTAAATCCTAGCTTTGCAAAGCTAGGCCACCAAAAATACAAGTAAACAAAAACTTATCTCAAACATTCAAGAATATCATCAAAACAGCTGCAGGATCTAATGTGAACTACCTCGAACTAGTAGTTTGTGCAGGGTTAACAGATGCTGACTAAAACACATTCACTGTGTGTTTTGCTGGAAATGTAAAAATATCCTGATGATACCCCTGTGAATTTAATGTGAAGCCCTGAAGTACCTCAGCATACAGCACTACAGCTCTAGGGTACAGTAGCATGACAAAACAGAAGGAATTCCAATCTCCGGATGACTTACTGAAGCAGAATGACTTAACTGACTGGGACTAAGTAGTCCACATTCCACATTCTGGAATATCATTTAAGAGATTAAAAAAAAACAAAACAAAACTGTTTTGTTTGGGATTTTTCTGTTCAAGTTTGTTTTGTTTTGTTTTTTACTATAAAAACAACATTCATATTGTGGTATATAAAGAAATACTTATGCCTAATTCCACTTAACCACCTTAAAACATTCTGGTAATGAAATAATTATGTACATATAAACTCTCTTATTATAAGTTGGTTTGCTTTTTTCTGAAATTCTGTAGGAATGAGAATGTGATTTTAATTGAAGAGGTAAGAATCTGAAAGAATGAAAAGAAGTAAAACTCCACTTTCTAGATCTGAAGTAGAGAAAATGTTTTTTAAAATATCAAAGAATAATGAATGAATACTATAAGCAAGTTATTTAGCTTAAATATTGTCTGCCCTGTCTTTTTATAATTATGAAGGTATCCAAAATCAGCAAAATGATAAACAGATCAATTTGAACATAAAATTTGTTTACCTGCATATTAATCTCTTTAGGAATGAGAATACTGTTGCTAGGCAGGTACAAACTTTGAATAACCGAAACTGTGTAATAGCCATGGTGGGAATCAAAACCTGTGGGAAAAGCACAAAAATAAATACATTAAGCTGATTTCATATGCTATATTCCCATTCTGAAGTCGAGCTGAAAGATCCTGTTATGAGCTGTGAAAATCAGACATATTTTACTTTTCTTTAGAAACCACAAATATAACACCGTGAATTTTAAAATTAAAATGTAAATCATATTGACAATTTGAGAAACTAGGTTTTTAAATTTTCAATAGTTGAGAATTTTCAATATTTGAGAAACTAGGTTTTTAAATTTTCAATAGTTAAATTTTCAATATTCTCAGAATGTTTTTTAATTCAACTCTAATTATCTTTATTTTCTATGAAAAAAATTTAAAAAAAACCATAAAACAGTATACCGTCTTTTGTGCCTTTTGAAGTCTGAACCACATGAACATTAACAGTACTATTCACAAATATTTTTAAATGTTTTTAACTTTTAGACAGATACATTGAATTATGCCCTTTATATAGATGAGGAAATTGATTAAGAGAGGTCAAATAACTAGCCCAAAGTCACATAGCTAATAACTTGGAAGTAACCATACAGATGATCTAGTCCAGTGGTTCATGTATTTGGGATTCTTTAAAGAAATAATCATACCTGGACCTAACCCTAGTAAATCAATTAAATCATATTTTCTAAGGGGCAAGTTCCAGTTAAACTAGTAAGCCTACAAAGGAGATAAAAAATCGTCAATAGAAAAGGTGCCAGAGGGTGCCTGGGTGGCTCCAGTCAGTTAAGCATCCACCTCTTGATTTCAGCTCAGGTCATGATCTCACAGTTAGGGGAGATTGAGCCTCACATCCAGCTCTGCTCTCTCCCCCATTCATGCTGGCTGGTGCACTCTCTCTCTAAAGAAAAAAAGAAAAGAAGAGAAAAGGAAAGGAAAGGAAAGAAAGAAAAGGAAGAGAAAAGGAGAAGAGAAGGAAAGAAAAAAAAAGGTGGCAGAAAACAGGGTAAAGTGGAACAAATAACAGATTGGACAAGTCAAAAACCAACAGCAAGATGAAAGACTTAAACCTATTCTAATTAAATGTCAATTGTCTAATATCCCATTTAAAGCCAGAGATTATTAAATTAGATTAAAAAAATAAGATCTTTATACGCTACCTACAAGAAATGTACTTTAGGGGCGCCTGGGTGGCTCAGTCGGGTAAGCGTCCGACTTCGGCTCAGGTCATGATCTCACGGTCCGTGAGTTTGAGCCCCGCGGTGGGCTCTGTGCTGACAGCTCAGAGCCTGGAGCCCGTTTCCGATTCTGTGTCTCCCTCTCTCTCTGCCCCTCTCCCACTTGTGTTCTGTCTCAAAAATAAATAAAAACATTAAAAAAAATGTACTTTAAATATAAAAATACGGATAGGCTAAAAGTGAAAGAATGGGGGAAAATATACCATGCTAACACTAATCAAAAACAAGTTGAAGTGACTATTTCAATGTCATAGAGATTTCAAAGAAAATAGTATTAGCAGGCATAAAAATGGTCCTTTCATAATGATAAAAGGGTCAGTTACTCAAAAGCACGTAACAATCCAAAATATATACATCCCTAATAACACAATGATGCCAATATCATAAACAAGAGGTGATATTACCAGAAAGTCTACAGATATTAAACAGCTTTTACTACAAACAACTTTATGCCTATATTGGACATATAAGAGGAAACGGACAAATTCCTTGAAACAAGTTATAAAAGCACAAGAAGAAATAGATAACCAGAAAATCTCTCTATCTATTGAAGAAACTGAATTTGTGGTTCAGACTTTTTCAGGCCCACATGGCTTCCGTGGTGAATTCCACCAAACCAAAAGGAAAAAGTATACCAGCTCTACACAAACTACCAGAAAACTGAAAGGGAGAGAATGAATTCCAACTCATTCCTTGAGGCCAGCAATTACACTGATACTAATCCAGACCAAAGATATTACCAGGAAGGAAAACTAGAGGCTAATACCTTAAGAACATAGATACAAAACTCTTTGTTTTGGTAATTAAAAAAAATTTAATGTTTATTTACTGGG